TAAAATTTTGAAATATAAAATATATCACTCTTTCAACCCTAAATTTTAAAATCACGTCATTTTTTTGCAGGACCACCCTTCAAAAATGGAAATAATATTGTGTCATGTCATTTTTTTGCAGAATTCCCCTCTCAAAATAGAAATAATATTGTATCACACATCATTTTTTGCAGGACCCCCCCAAAAATGAAAATAAATTTTGTATCATGTCATTTTGTAGTAGACCCCCTCCTTTCCAATTAAATGACATCATTTCTGACCCTTCCCTTACAATTTAAAATTGTACCACTCTTCTAATCTTAAAATTTTGAAATATAAAATATACCACTCTTTCAACCCTAAAATTTTGAAATCACGTCATTTTTTGCAGGACCCCAAAAAAATAGAAATAAATTTTGTATCACGTCATTTTGTAATAAACCCCCTAATTAAATGATATTATTTCTGACTCTTCCCTAACTATTTTAGTGAAGTATTTTAGGAAAAACTATGAAGCGATCTTGGGGATTCTTGATTCCTAAATACTACTATTAATATAGCTTTAAAATTTTTTATGTAACAGTTATCCAGTGAGCTTACAAGAATTATAAGAAAAGACTCAAATCTTTGGTAAAATGAGTTTGAGAGACAGTAAGAAATGATAGTACTTTTAACAATAAAAAGTATTTAGGTATGAAAAATGAAAGATATAATCCTTCAAGACAAATTTTATACGAGAAATATTGTTCTTCAGTGAAAAATAGATAGATATTTGAGAAGAAAACCCAGTTATAGAAGACAATTATCTTTTACAACATACATACTTGTTAAGAATTATTATATCAGTAAGGTTATATAATTGTTAGAGTTACATATTGGTTTGACATGTTAAAATAGCTATAAAATCCCAGACATTATAGTATTTATAAAAAGTATAATTATATGTACTTTATCAGAATTTCAGAATACAAGGCATATAAGATTAAATCATCAAAAATGAAACCTATATGCGATTTACCGTTAAAATACATATATCATATTTACAAGAAGGATGTTACTGTAACATTTTCAGATTTGGATAATAATAGTGAATTAGTGCGTCAAATTTTTCAGATTAGTCTTTGATCCAGATCCTGAATATTGTCTTAATAAAATATTGTCTAGCTATGCGAAACATCTTAAGGCCAATATATGTAAACATGTACAATATAAATAAAATGTATTTCTGATCTTCGTTAAAATATATATAATGTAATATATAATAGTTCACAAATCATCTATGAAACTATATTTGTATGATAAAATAATTTCATACATAAACCACTCTCTAAAATATTTCGAATTTTCTTTCTATTTATCCGAATAGCATTTATTTATAAGTTTATTTCTTCAAGAGTGTTGTGTTGCTACAGGCTATTCCTACTAGATTCTGACCAGAATATATTTATATAATATTACTAGACCTTTATTATTGAGCGGTTGAGCAAGTGAAATAAAAAAGTATGTATATGCATATTTCCCTATGACTTTGTAATATTGAGATCTATAATGCATACCCCACATACTCTTATTTTCGAACATAAACGTAAAGTACCTTATATATTTTCCTTTCTCCCCTAATATGAATGTAAGTTGGTGAGGGCATGGATAGAGATTTAAAATAGCTAGGCAGTATATTAGAGTTGAGTATTTTTACGTCTTATAAATTCTTTTATTTTAGCCATGCCTATATACACTAAAATTTATAATTCCTTGTCAAATGCTAAGGAAGAAAATATTACTGCTGGGTCTGTTATTTACCAAGAAATTGAAAAAAATCCTTGGATAACTTAAAATGAGCTAAAAAGTATTATTGAATAGGCTATGGCATTTGTGAAAAATCAATATGAACGGGACTTCTCACATCATACTACTCTTCTTGAAATTCTACCAGAGGTAAGATATCAAACTTTGAACTACTGATGACTAAAATTTATTGAGTGATGAATAATGTAGACAGTAATATCATTCTGAGGGAGAGAGCATAATAGACTAAATATCTTATTAACCCACTCATAGGATTTTTTCTCAACAATGTAAAGGTAGTTAGACTATAACTATATGCTTAATTCAATGTGATTATTTCAGTATCACATAAAGTCTTTATTTGAGTATTTGAGTAGCTAACCATATAAGAATAGGACTTTATTTTAATCTGACAGCGCATGCACTTTTGATATTTTTTTTAACATATATATTTAGACTAATTATTTATATATCTGCATTAGTTCGAAATTAGCTTTAAAATAGTCTGTAGTTTATATAATATCAGCATAGTGAAAACGAACAAAGAAAGACCTCTTACTTCAGATAAAATCAAAAAAAATATCAAAGCACTAAAGGGTAAACTCAGAAAAATACGTTACAGCTTTACCAACATTTATTTTAGATGTAAATAAAGTATCTATTTCTGACTTAACTTGGAAAGATCCTCTAGCCAACTAAGTAATTAGTGATGATTCAGATCTGGTACAGAAATTACCAGAATGACTAAGAGAATCTTTTATGGTAAAATTCTTTTTTATATACGTTTTTATCTAGCACCATTTTTGTTAATTTATCATTATACTATTATTAGAAATCAGTAGAGAATATGGTTCCTTTACCACTTTCACGAATTATATAGGAAAAATGTGAAGAATTTGTAGTTAACTTTGCAGAGAGTAATATAAGCATTTTATCACAAAAACTTTTGCATAATGGAGAATAGAAAGAATCAGATGAAGAGCTTACAGACGTTACATCAAGAATTTTTAATTCTCTAAACGATTCATGAAATAATACTACCTTTAGCTCTGAGTTTACAAAATTACAAAATGAAGGTACTTATGTAACTAACATAATAGTTTCTGCTATTCAGATCATATTAAAAGGTCTTCCTTTAGAAAGGTCGTCTTATGTCAACAGGTAAATGATAATATAATTAGAAAAAATTGTATTGCAAGCATTAAATTAAAAAACTTCTAGACTAATATTAATATTATTATCTTTTAGTGCTGAATGTCAAAGTTCAGTAGTGCAGATAGAAAAGGTGAAGGGCGAGCAGGAAAACGATCAGATATCATGTTTGTGATAAAGCATAATAGAAAAAAATACAAGCTCATATATGTTGAAAATTTACGCTTGTCTTATACTTCATAGAAAGAAAAAGATAATAAAATAAAGCTATAGTGTGAAACTAATGATAGGATGTATTAGATTCACAAATCATCTGGGCCAGATAAAAATGAATTCAGAATTATTGAATGCAAGTAACTGAATAAATAATACGTTTAAATATTCTTATTAGAGATATGAAAAATATACATCATTATTACTATCTTTACGAAGCAGAAATTCCTATACAATAATTAGATCTATTTATCGTAACAAATTTTGTAAAGACTTTACTAATTTTATGGAATATTTTAATAGTGAATATGTTTTTACTATTTAATGCACTTTCAGTTAGGTTTAAGAGAAATAAAAACAGTTCAAATGTAGATTTTGAATAAGTTATTTATACAGTATATAGTAAATTTGTATTTTACTTTTCTTATATCAATAAAGTGCCCTGGTGGCTGATTATTTTTACACATTCATCTGTATTTTTTCTTAGCAAATTTGCAAAACTGGCGGTCTCAAAAAACATGTAATTTATTTCTTTTGAATATTGCAAAACTATATCTAATAAAATGTTCCATTCTAACTATAAATACATTATTGATAAACTACCTAAAAGTCTTGTTAAGAGAGCATTCAGAGACTCTTGCATCATTCTAAAGATCCTATCCCATTAGAATCTATTTCTGAGAAATCTGAATGAATTGAATCCTATTTGAAACATATGTTAAAGGTTTATAAAAACTCATTAAATAGGAAACGTAAAATTATAACTCAGAAAAAATATTGCATTCTCGAAACTGGCCAGAATGCAATGTATTTCTAGCAATACTGGTTATATATATTGCAGACATTAGAACCCAAACTAATAATACTACTTAATCAGAAGCACTAAAATATGATCATAAAGAAGAGAATAATCACTAAGTTATGAATGAGCTTAAAGTACTATCTTAGCATCTGCTCAATTATAATAGATAAACTTTGAGAAATTTATGCATGACATAGAAAAGGAATATAGAGAGCAGGTTAATGCTAATAAAAAAATGCGTTATAAATTCAAAGATCTGAAGATGCAAGTGCTGAAAGCAGAAAAGAACTGGTATATATAAAGTTAGATTCTACTCATATAACTTCAAAGGAGAATCCCAGCCCAGTCTAATCACTAATGGATCATCTATTAACTTAGTAAAATTAAAGACTACAAAATTTTTATCTCGTAAATGATTATTAATAATCTTAGATGCTTTTTTAGATCATTTATATATTGACGCATGACTCTATGAATATCGTTCTGACTACACTGCCTACCCTTGTGACATTTTTTGAGGAATGTTACAAGGAAGTTCCAGATAACCTGTAGTGTATACATATCTCTACTTGCATAAAAAATGAGTCGCATAAATGTATTTAAAGTTTTAAGTTTATTTAATGAGACCCAATTCATAAAGATGCTTTAGAATAACTATATATGGGTCTTCGTAATACTAAATGTATCTTAGTACAATCCAGTTCTCTTCGCATAATTCTTTCCTGAGTTGATCCTGTGCTTGCTATTTGATAAAATTATTGGGATCGCCTTTATGAAAGAATTTTATATATCTTTCATATTATTCTTCTTACATTTCAATTGCAAATCCATATTTATAATAGGGAATATCAAGTTCCAATTCTTTAGGATATTCAGAAATTTTCAAGAAATCTGATCTGTAATTTTCAGATGGTGGATCAAGATACTTTGCTACAATTTCTTGACATAATTGTTCATCTTTATATTTATAACAAAATGGATAATACTATTTTTCAAATTACTGAGAGATACTTGCTATATATAACCTTATTTGCAATATTATAATAGTAGTAATTGATTATTTTTATACTTAATTGAATAGTATTGCCATATCTAGATAATGCAATTTACTTGCATTCTCAAGAGTTAATTTCATATCACCTGCATAATATGGATACCAGCTTCCTTGTTGAATACTATTAGGAACAGCTTTTTATTTATGTTTATTCTCGCAAATTCATTCTAGTTTAATACGTAAGTTATAATATTGATCTGAAAGGCAATTTCTATTTTTATTTATGCGAGCTTACGCATATCCTCAATAGATTAATATTGACTAATACAAAATAGATACCATTGTTCTCTATTTTTAATGTAATTAAGTGAATTTTGTCATTGATGATTAGATTGACATCTTCAGATAAGCGGCTTACCTATGTTTTTATACTTAGTTAAAAGACATTCCCTATGTTTAGATAATGCGATTTGTTTTGTGTCCTCAAAGGTTAACTTTATATTACCTACACAATATGAGTATTATGAATTAGAATATTTAATATGATGAAGCGAACTATTTCAAATATGATCTTTATGATATTTCTACATTATTAGAGTATTAGAATTTCTATATATGATTGAAAGACATTTGTTATTTCAGCTAAATGCAATTTGTTTGGCATCTTCAAGAATAAGACGAACATTGCCTGCACAATATGAGTGTCTTATTAAAATGTTTTGCAAAAGCTACTCTTCAATAACAATATGCACTAATCACTTGAATAGTAACATTATGCTTCTTTATTAATTGAGAAATCTTTCTTATAAATTCACAACCCCTGTCACATTATAGAAGCTTTGATCATACAAGAGGATTATTAGGATCATCATATTTTTTTCTGAATACTCTAACAACTTCTGAACTCTTCTTCAATATGAGTGGAACAGAAGCCTTATATCAGGAAATACAGTCTATTATATTAAGTACTGCTATATATTTTTTATGCTTATAATGATCATGTGTAAGAAATAGCAAATCACATTGGTATATGTAATTTAAACGAGTTATTCGACTATAGCTACATCTGGGAATATTCTTTAGAAGATTTTTATGTATTTAGTATATATGTTGTCATTCTAAAAAATTATGGCATTCTTTTAGGCAAAAACGATACCCTTCTTTTTTACATGCATCACTTACCTTAAGCGCTTTCAGCAAGGATTTAGGATTTGAATAATATCCAATTGACTGATAATATATATCACATAATATAATATTTTTTTTGATTCTTTAAGCCTCATCAGGATCTATCACAATTTGCAGTTGGCTCATTTTTAAGGTAGGATTATTATGATGGTACTATAAATTGAGATAAAATATCATATTTGATCCAACATATTCACAGCTTTTAAATACAAATCAGGATCTTAAGCAATGTTATTGAACTATTTTATTACAGGATAATACTATTATAGTCTATGAGAAAGTGATAGAGATAGAGTTCTGAATAAGTCGAATCGAGTCGAATTTAAAGACCAACTCTATTCGACTCATTTTTTTCGAGTCGAGTCGAGTCAAATTTATTTTATAAAATCTTTCAATTT